CATAAATAGTCCGTCAAGCTGTCTCGAGCGAAGCTTGTGCCGAATCTGTACACTGCTCCAGCCCGAAGAGGGCTGGGGCTACTCAGACCATTTCTCTGAGCCTGTAAACTGGCACGTCAGTTAATGCAGCGTTCCCTGGGTGTCATGCAGCCTGCATGCACGCAGGAAGCGTTAAAGCCTAATTGAATGTAATGTGGGTGGACGGGGTGGGCTTACAAGCAACGCAAGCGCGCGGCCAGGGGCGGCTCACGCCCGAGCGCGCGACCTTGCTTGCACAACCTGAACCCTAAACCCTAAACCCTAAACCCTGAACCCTTAACCCTCAATTTTTTGGTGTTCGCCCGAGCTCCCAACACGTGCTTGGCCTTCAAGTTGTCCACACACATAGGTCTAACTCTTGAAAAAGTGTGGTGTGGGGTTTAGGGTCCATGGGTCTACTTGGAGGGTCCGGGAGACTTAGTAAGTAGGTTAATAACCCCTATAAGCCATATAGTAGCCCCATGTATCCCCATTATTAACCTACTTACTATGTCCCCCTGACCCCCCAAGTACGGTCCATGGGCCTGGCCCCTGAGAGGACGGTTCAGGGTTTAGGGTTCAGGGTTTAGGGTTTTGGGTCCCATGCTGCTCACGTAGTTCAAAGGGCTATGTAGTTGTATAATATTTGCTTGAGCCACAAACCAGGTATGTGGGAACCAACTTGGGCCTTACATATATAATATATACCATACACTTTCGCGGACCCTATGGGAAGGTATAAGCCCCCTTAAGTAGATAGAATATGGGGTATATGGGGATCTTATAGTAATATACCCAAAACCATAGTCCGGGGACTATAGTAGGATCCAAACATAAACCGGACAGGTACTTGCACTCTTGAGAGTCCGAAGCGCCTCACACGCCTGAGGGCGCGGCGAACCGAGCGAACACGGAACCCAGCTCGCCAACAAGGCGTCCCAGGACGGCTAACTTGGCCCAGGTTTTGGGGTTGGCATAAAACCTAAACTTACTTGTATCCCTATCTTGGGTACCCCCGCAGAGGAACCGCTAGTTCATGGAAACCCCAGCATGGGGCCTTAAAAGATCAATCTGCCTCTGCCAGGTGGTTCAGGATTAAGGGCTACAGGGCTTCAAGCATACCAAGTCACCTGACACTCGAAGAAACCCTAAGGGTCCAAGTACCCACTAATTAGGTACTTGGGATTTGGGTAATAATAATTATAGTGCTGGTTTTGAGTAAGTATATGATTATTAGGTACTTGGACCCTTAGAGTAAGGGGCCTAAAATGGGAGCTGCTTAGGATGATCTTCGGGCTGTTTCACACTCTTGAACCACATGTGGAGCTGGGTATGAGAGCGTGACCTACTGCACAAGCGCAAATAACCACCAATACTATCCCTTGCATAATTATGGTAGTACAGGATACCACACATGAATCTCAACCTGACATTCGTAAACAATTTGGAACCCTACAGTACCATCCAAAAATGACACGGGACTCTATATGGCCCGTTAAGCAAGCCGTTATCTTCAATCCCCTTCGCTGAAACAGCCTCCAAACCCCTAATGGTAAATTTCACACCCAAAAAAATATCATCGTACATTAGGCGGAAAAAGGAACTATTAGTGGGTGGGGCGTGATTATAGCCCTAAGCCCTAAACCTACACTCAAAACCCCGAATCCTAAACCCACGTGGTCCCTCTTGGAGGCGCCATGTTAGCCTGGACCCAGATCTTGGTTTCAGGTTGATGCAGTAATAATAATAGTAATGGTAATGCTAATAATGATAATAGTAATTGTGGTCTTCCTGGAAGCCCTCCATATACTATGGCATAGGGCTTGGGAATGTTTAGGTTTTAGGATTTTGGGATGTTTGCGGTTTAGGATTTAGGGATGTTTACGGTTTGTTGTTTCGGATTTGGGGATGTTTAGGGTTTAGGGTGGGGTGAGCTGGGTTGTGTTACTGTCCTGTGGGCCCAGCAACACCACTAGTACCTACGCACAGGTAAACTACCAACTCAGTGGCGGTGGTCTTTGACTGTGAACAATTGGTGCTACCTTGAAATATGAGGATGACGGATCTTCGATTGCCATTTTGGAAGCAACATGAGTCAGGATCCTGTCTATCCTTTGTAGGCTAGAACCCTAATTAGATCCTATCAGTTGGGTGTTCTCAGAATTACATGATATCCCCCGACCAAATTGATCAGAGCATGCTGCATGATGATCAAACGGCAGCTCTTTGCAGGGTTGGACACAAAATCCCCAGTGGCTGGTGATTCTGCTTCCAGACCACATTTCATATGTACCGCTGAGTCATAAAAATATGTATTGAGTGCGCGGATCCCCCGCATACATGCATACACGCCATATGCTGTAATCCAAAGGGACCCAAAAGTTTTCGGAATCCCCTATAGGCATACATATAAAATAAACACACATGCAAATTTGCACACATCTACTTGAAACCCGAATGCTGCCAGAACAAGGAAACGCGGTCCACTGACTCAACAAGGAGTTCTTCATAATTCTCTGTCCAAAATCCTAAAACATGTCTCGAACCCAAAATCCTTAGATCCCTAAACCCTAAACTACATCCCAAACATCCCCAGGATCCTTAGCATTTTTCTAGTCTCAGCGCCCCACTCGTTTTGCTAGCTCACCATCGGAGTCTAACCATCTCTTGAGATAGGCCTGCCAGACGAAGTTTCAGTTTAGGTTATTAGGGTTCCCCAAAGGTCCAAATACCAAATAACCATTTAGGCTTTATGGTTTAGGGTATTAGGGTTCCCTAAGGGTCCAAGTACCTAATAATCATATACTTCCCCAAAACCTGTACTATAATTCCTATTACCCAATGTCCTAAGTACCCAATTATTGGGTAATTACATGGACCCTTGGGCTCAGGGGAGGCTTGGAGGTCTGGGGACGTGGGGCTATAGGGATCCGGCTTAGGATTTAGGACTTAGGCTATGTTCGCTTTGGAATTTGGGGTTCAAGGCTTTTGGGCTTCGGGTTCCAGGGTTTAGAACTTAGCTGAAGCCTAAGGTTATGTTCAACCCAAAGCCCTAAACCCAAACCCCAAACCCCAAACCTTAAACTCTAAAACCCAAAAACCTTAAAACCCTTCCAGGCTCTAGGAATGAGGCTTTACTTGGAGGGTAAGGGAGACTTAGTGGGTTGGTTGATAATGGGGATAACTAGGGTTACTATTTGAGCGGTGGCCTAAACCCTTTGAACCTTTTGTTAAAGTAGTGTTGCGCTATCGCCTGCGCCTGTCGCGGACTGACGCGGCCCCAGGAATAGCTGACGCGGATGCATCTCTGCATTCTACTGACGCGATCACTGTCGCGAGCTATCGCGCACACCATGAAAGCTGACGCGGCCAATCTATACTTTAACACTTATATAGATTTCCACATGGGGGGTTTTGGCCGCCGCTCATTTGGCTTATTGGGGTTATACGTATACTTACTGAGTCCCTGACCATCCAAGTAGGGTTGACTTGCGGTTATAGATTTGGTTTGCCTGCTAGGCCCTTAGCGTCTTCATGAGATACAGGCTTACAAAATCGGAACAACATTCAACTAAGGGCCCAAGTACGCAATGATGGCGTACTTGGGACTGAGGCAACAGTAATTATCTTACAGGTTTTGAGGATGCATACGAACATTTGGTACTTGGACCTCAGGGTCCTGCTCCAACTTTTACTGTGGCTCGTTCCACGCTCGCGATCGCTTCTTTCTATTGAGCAATTGCAACAGCTATGTTGCTCAACACACATACCCCTAAGGGTCCATGTACCCAATAAGTAGGTACTTGGGATTTGGGTAATAGTAATAAAACTACAGGTTTTGCGTAAGTACATGATTATTAGGTACTTGGACCCTTAGGGATACAAACAGTTCGTATTTGGGCAACCATGGGGACTCAAACCAAAAGGGGGATCTCACATAACAACTTTATTATATACTATACACCTACCCTACACTCTGAACCTTATACCCTAAAGCCTAAACCCCTAAACCCTAAACCCTTTTCTATACAGCTACGTCGACCGATGTTGAATCTCACACGAAGGGGGGCTCACATGGCTTCCCACCTGAGCTGGGGTTTAGGGTTTAGGTTTAGGGTTGAGGGAGGGTTTCCCAAAACCGGGGGCAGGTCAAGGGCCCATACTAGGGGCCCAGGAGGATAAATAAGATTACATTGGGGCATAAAAGGCTTGGGGATAGAGCTTAGGGTTTCGCAAGTTAGGGGTGTTTTTTGTGGTCCGCATATAGGTACTGGATTTTGAGACCCTAAATCCTAAACCCCAAACCCCAAACCGCGATAAGGAGCTTGCTCGAAGAAACCTTGACTTCCAACAAAGCAAAGAAGCCCAGTTACCTATATGGTGTCGTGTCCCGTGTCGACAGCCCCCCCTCAACCCCCCCCCCCCCATGGTATGGTCCCCGAGCCGCCAGCCCCAGACTCTCAAAAGTGTCAACCGTCACAGGGATGGTGGGCGTCCAGGTCACGATCTTCGTAACTGTCCTCGTGTTTGAGGTCTCGGACGCGCCATTCTCGCAACTGTCGTCGTTTTTTGATGTGAAAGAGCTCAAAAGTGCCAACAGGCACAAGGATCGCGGGCGTGATGGTCACAATCCTCGCAGCTGTCACCGTTTTTCCTGTTGCAGATGTCAAAAGATCTCAAAAGCGCCAACAGTCACAGGGATGGCGCGTGTCCTAACTACAATCGTCGTATCTGTCAGCATTGTTGATGTCGCAAATCTAGAAAGTGCCAACGCTCACAAAGATGGTGCGTTGTCCTAATCATGATCCGCGAATTGTCATGATCCCCGCCAAAAAGCCAACCATGCATGCATGTCCCCCCATCACCCAGACCACAGGGGGGAGGGGAAAGATTTGAATGACTTGGCACGAATGGTGACAGTAATTGAAGGAAGACTACAACCCTCTTTTTTGGGGCAGGGAGGA